GGTCACAATATCTTAATTATTCTTCTTTAATGATGAGTGACTTACGTCGTTTTCGTACGTCGAGAGAGGACTTTACTCCTGAATTGCCTAATCAGCCCAAAGTAGCACTTGTTGGCAAAAGTGATTCTCCATTGGATTTCAAGGCCGACATTAGGCAGCCTGAAATTGTGCATATGGAAACTGTGCTTACGAAATAATGCAGATGAAAAAAACCGAAATAATGCATACGAAAAAAACCGAAATAATGCATATGAAAAAACCCGAAATAATGCATATATGCACAGTTTCGGTTGAAAACCGCAATAATGCATATTAGAAAAACCGAAATTATGCATATGCACTCTTTCGTTTGAAAACCGAAATAATGCATATGAAAAAACCGAAATAATGCATATATGCGCAGTTTTGGTTGAAAACCGAACTAATGCATATGAAAATACCGAAATAATGCATACATGCGCACTTTCGTTTGAAACCCGAAATAGCGCATATGAGAAAAACGAAGTAATGCATATATGCACAGTTTCGGTTCAAAACCGAAATAATGCATATGACAAAAGCCGAAGTAATGCATACATGCAGAGTTTCGACTCAAAACCGAAGTAATGCATATGACAAAAACCGAAATAGTGCATACATGAAAACGAACTTCTTTCTGAGTAAGCGGCCTTCGGCCGCGCTTAGGGATTATAACCCTTACTAAGTAGAACTCTCCTTTCTGTGTTGCCGGAAAAGCAGGGCGGAAGTATTTTTGCGCAGAACTTCTCTCTGCGTAGGCGGCATTAGGGATTACCCTTACTAAGTAGAAGTAAATAATTCATATTAGAAAGAACGAAATTATCCATATGCACACTTTCGTTAGAAAACCGAAATAATGCATATAACAAAAACCGAAATAATGCATATGGCAAAAACCGAAATAAAGCATACATGCACAGTTTCGAATGAAAACCGAAATAATGCAGATGTGAAAGACGAAGGTATGCATACATGCACAGTTTCGGTTGAAAACCGAAATAATGCATATAACAAAAACCGAAATAATGCATGCATGCACAGTTTCGGTTGAAAACCGAAATAATGCATATAAAAACCCGAAGTAATGCATACATGCACAGTTTCGGTTGAAAACCGAAATAATGCATATGAGAAAATACCGAAAGTATGCA